AGTATATGATTTCATGACAGGTTAGCAAACTTCAATATTACTACATTTAATTCCTTGTTTTACATACACACATACATAGAACAATTACTTGTGACTTGTCAAGTAACGTTTTTACATTGCAGATTGATAAAATTTAATTTAATTCAGAAGATTGTTAAATTAAAAAACTGTAGAATTTAATCCAATTTCGTTGAGTTGGTATTAACTCATTTGTATGACAAGTATATGATTTCATGACAGGTTAGCCAACTTCAATATTACTACATTTAATTCCTTGTTTTAGATACATACATTGACCAATTACTTGTGACTTGTCAAGTAACGTTTCTAAATTGCAAATAGATAAAATTTAATTTAATTTAGAAGATGGATACATTAATAAACTGGAGAATTTAATCCAATTTCGTAGAGTTGGTATTAACTCATTTGTATGACAAGTATATGATTTGATGACAGGTTAGCCAACTTCAATATTACTACATTTAATTCCTTGTTTTACATACATTGAACAATTACTTGTGACTTATCAAGTAACGTTTCTACATAGCAAATTGAAAAAATTTAATTTGGAAGATTGATGCATTAAAAAACATTAGAATTTAATCCAATTTCGTAGAGTCGAAAAGCGTGTAGGAATTTCTAAAAATTTTCGAATTCTTAGAAACTCGGAACTGTTTGGTTTCGTATCACGTATTTCCGCTCGAAACTGATGAAAGATTACCGTAGAATTACGCGCCTAATAATACGTACAACAAAAAAAAAATAGAAATTAAACCGAAAGTTGAAAAAGCAAATTCATTATCTTTTACGAGGTTTGTTTCATTGATTGAAAAGAAAGTTATTTACTAATTACACTACACAAATTAATTGAAACATAAGAAACAAAAACTGATTTCTTACCTTCTTCTTTGTCCATCGTCGATGTTTCTTCTATTCTTGCGTGATTAAAATTGGAAAATCGATGGAAAACGTTGTGTAATGTTGTGACAACAAAAAATGACAATTTGCAATGACATTTGTTTTCTGTCATCAGCAGTTAATTAAAGCCTACTATTATTGTTTAAACATTATTATATATTCTCATTATTACTTCCAAATTTTCTCATTTTACTCATTTAAAAAGTACAAAAATAATGTTTTTTATTTTCTTATATAAAATAAATTAGTTTTTGATATAACATGAATTAAATTCACGCTTTATTTATGTTATATAACTTTATAAAAAAATGACTTTCTGGTATTTTCGGGCAAAAATTAATAAGCGGAATGGAATTTCCATTGTACTAATAAAAATCGTACATATTAAATTCCAAACATTTCATCCTAGTTTCTCGCCCTATTTGAAGACCCTATAGAAATCTACAAACATTGTAAAGAAAAAATACGTTTATTTGTACTTTTAATAGAAAACTTACATACTTTTAACATATTTCCGCTTGTGAACACATAATGAACGACTATTTGCTTTTCTGATCTTCGAAAACTCCGTCCGTGCGCGTATTTACGAAGTGCAAAATGCAGACAGTTTCATTCTCAATATTTACACAATCAAGTGTAAATACCAGACGCATCAGTCAAGAACGTAGTTCTAGGTACGTAGTCCTAAGAAATTATTTAACAAACAACAAAAAAACTATTAAATTATTAATCACACACAAATTACAACATAAAAATCAATACTTTTAGTCTCAAGTAGTATTTTTTAGACTTAAACTAAAAAAAGTAATAATTTTGAAGATTTTCTATTAGGTATAATAGGAAATAATAGGACCAAGTACATTTCCTTGGGGTACAACTTTATATTATTTTATTTTTTTAGAATTTCTTAACTTCTAGCAAATTGCGTAAGGTTATTTGTTTATTTTTTTAAATAATTTGTAAAATATTTTTTTGTTATCAAGAAATAGACAACATTCTTTCTATGCTAAAACTTGTTATTTTTGCACTTTTTATCAATAGAAATGAGCAATTATATTGTTTTGTGCAAAAACATTTACATTTATAAAGTTCTCAGTTCGAAAACTTTCTAATTTTTTCAAATGAATTGAATGAAATAATAGAATAGGGAAGAAAACTTCACGAAAAACAATTTAGATTTGTTATTAAGAAAATGTACGTTGTTTAGACGCTGTTTTTTTTTTCATTGAATAAAAATGATAAACTAAAGTAGAAATTATGGTGATTTGCAATAAATGTTATGTGAAGTTCAAGTGGAGGAATGTTGATTTTAAAGTAAACGAAAAATACTTGCCACGTGTCTCTCGAAAAACCAATAACATTCTACTATAAAAAGGAAAGTGCAAATGAAAAGCGTATTTGTTTTGTTCAATGAAAACGTATAAATCTCGTTTTAATTATCCGTTATAAAACGAGACTCTCGTATGTTCGTTCGACGGAGTTACGTAAAGTTTGCAAATCTCTTTTGCTTCTAACACGTTTTTGCCCTTAGAACCTTCACTAATTCTAATTAAATCGTAGTTTTTTTTATTGTAACTTTTGTACTAAATATTTATTTATATAAATTAAGGATTTTTTTTTATTCAGTCTAAAAATTAATACATTTTTCTTAAATCTTAAACAACTAA